TTTATTTATAATTTTAATTTTCCGCCCAAAAGACTTCTGGAAGGAACGCAACTTCAAAAAAGGAAAACCAATTTTATTTCTCCATAATTTAGGTACCTTCATGAAATCGCTAAAAATGAGCATAGCATGATAAAAACGGCCTTATACTTGATGAAAGGAAATTTTTTATCGTCTAAACGTTTTTGCTATTATCAATAGAAAAGACCCAAATATTTTTTTCATTATCTAAAAAAAAATTTGCATCCTTTTTAGAACATTCTAATTTTTGATTAAAAAAATCATATTTCTCTTTACGAAAATATCATTAATAAATGACATTGCAAATTTTAGGGTTTTTTTTTGCATTTACAGGCGTAAATTTTGAAAATCTTGCAAAAAATAATAATAAAAACAATAGTCGGATTTTAATGAAACTTTCAGGATTTATTCACAAAGGATTTAAATTAATTTAAATATGTGTTTTATTTTGAATGGTAAAAATATCTTTTATATCTGTTACACCCCCTACCTAGTTTTATGAAAACTCTAGAAATTCAATGCCGTTTCTTAGTGAATAGATTAGTTAAAAGCAGAAGTCTTTGAACAATTTAAACCATCAATTTCTTTTTTGTAAAAGTTCGACCAGTTATCGAAATTCAGTTCTGAATTGTAACATAAAAAACTCAATAAAACAAAAATATCATTTAATTTCAAAAGCTTATAGTTGCTTTTATGAATAAGGACAATATTGTTTGAAAACAAAATTTTTTTCGGTCAAAAATAAATTTTTACAACAATTATTTGTTACTTCTTACATTTCTTTTTTAGGATTTAACAATTTTTACACCCAAAAGACTTCTGGAAGTTCTTAAATATATTAAAATTAGTGAAAATGCTGTCTATTGGTGTTATTAAGTATATATATCTATACAGATTATAAATTTTAAAGCTTTATTACAACATGCAGACGATTATTATATGCAAATAGAATTTAAAATTGTTCTTGTGTCATTAAAAAAAAGGTTTATTTCAAATGTACGGATGGCCCCAAGGAATGTGAAAACATCACGTGGTTTTTCTGATGTGTTAATCGACGGCGGAAAAATAAAAATAGTTGGGATCTTCAGATTGTAATAAGCTTTAAAATATATGATTAGTAAATATAGTTTTAATAACAATATTCCCCCCAAATTATCTAAGTTGAACTTTAAATGATGTAAAATCTTTATAAATTATTTATTTTTAAATTGTAAAAAATGAAAACAAATCTTGTGAAAATTCATTTTTCATCAAAAAATTTTATAGTATTTTTTTTAATTTCTCCAGAAAGTATCAGCAAACGTAAGATGAAAGCTAAAGTAGTTAAAAAAAAATACTAGACTACTAAAATTTTTTCTTACTTTAAAAATTACGAAGTACATAAGCTGGTTCACTAAAAACTAGAAAAGGTTATATCACTTCTGTCGCTCCGTAACTGTCAATACGTGATGAAGCTATCACTCGTCAATCTTCACCATTGTTAAGACATGTTTTCTCTTAATTTAAACTATTTTTTTGCAAAGAAACTAAGTTATGTTTATTTCAAAATATACTAAATAAACTTTGAATTTTCTAATTTTCTTCAGGTAAATTTTGAAAAATATATAATTGATTTTTGCAAGGTTTTTAAACGAGAATTTGACTTCTGCTTACAAAATCCTAAAAAAATGGCTGATATCGATTTTTTAGTTATTTCGCTGACTCAAAAAACACCAAGATTTTTAACTAAAATTTCGGACATGCTAAGAAGGATTAAAAATTTTCAATAAATAATCAGAAAAATACTTTGGTCTTTCCTCTTAATAATAACATAAACATTTATACAATAAAAAATTTTTCAGCAAGTTTAAGGTCGGTTTTATCATGCTATTTTAGCGACTTCATGATAAAAACGACCTTAAATTTGATGAAAAGAATTTTTATTGTAAATCGTCTCTTTTCTCGTTGGGAATAAAGAATTTGCATCAAGTGTTGTAAAGCTAACCTAATCCTTTCTTTGCAAGTGCTGTAAACTGTAAACCGGTTTATACGCACCAAATAATTTATTAAATAATTCAATTCACGTAAAGAATTATTTAATCTTTTGTGGATAGATAAAGAGCTAGCAAAGGGGAAATCAAGACATGACAGAACATTTAAACGCATAAGTTTTTACAAAAATGCTTATTCAGAAGTATTTAAAAGTTTAAAGAAAAACGACACAATGGCAATGCAGTGGCGGACCTAGGTTGGTGTGGCTGGGCCCCAAGCCCCGGGCAGCAATTTATGGAGGCAGCATTTTGCAGGTGAACAAAAAAATTGAAGACACAATCATTCATTTTTATGTTATGGTGTTTCAAAAAAGAAATCTAATATTTTGTTTTTTAATTCAATTTTTTTTTCACATTCATTCCTTTTTGTTTGGAAGATCACAAACACATGACATGCCACCCTGTTGGCAACCTCAGCTTTTAATAAGCTCGGGTGACTGTCTGAGATGCGGGTACTCTGATCTGGCCCTGCTGTGAGTGAACTCTTTCTGAGACTACAAGACCACACCGGGACATTCCGAGAGACATCTCCACTATATTGTATATTTTGTACAACCAATATATATATATTTGTCCCTATCTTCCATGTTTTTGTATTGGGATAAATAAAGAAAACTTGTTTTCTTCTTTGAAGACTAAAGATTTTTAAGATTATGGCGTTTCAGTCTCGTACACTATCTGATAAAATAAGTTAAAAAACGTTTGCTGGATTAACTGCCCTTCCTATTTCCTAATTAGTATGCACTGCACTTAGCCGGTTATGTGACGGTTAACGGCCAATCACAATGAAGTTTACTCTGTGCAGTGAATAATTTTAGAGGTCGATGTCATGAAGAGAAGGTACTTTTTTTAAAAATATACGCTAGCTTTTCTTTTTCAGAGTCTGAGAGAAGGCATATAAAACATTTATACAAAGAGAACAAGTTGAATCTTTATTTTTATTCTCTTGCTCAAAAAACTTAACATGCTTTTGTATCTGCATTCCAGTAGCGTTCTCCTACGCAGTCGTCTGTTTTGTAATCTAGTCTTCTTCAAGGTATTTCCGGTTATAGTAGTTGGAACACTAGGGCCAGCTTGTATCGTCGACCTGATAACTTCTTTAAATCTCCGACATTTTTACTTTTCTTGAACATTTTTTTTGCTCAGCTTTCACCTGGTCGCCATCTTTGTAGACGTTTGTGGAAAGAAATAATCAAATTCCTTCCAGTTGGAAGTGTTTTCTTTCCTTTATGCAGCTATTACTGAACTAAACTTTACTAAAAAGTTTACAAGATATATAACATCATGTACTGCATTTATAGGTTGTGTGGGTCGTGTAACGGATATCGGTATGGAAAACGGAATCGGCGAAACGAGTTCAAATTCCGGCCTTGTTTGTGGCATTCACTTTTAAACAAGTCCTCTTATTGGTTACACAGCAGGGTAGATTGGGCTTTCTAACCATTCCAAAAGAATGCCCTCCGTGTATATCCATCTAGATAATCTATAGGGAATTCTGAATTGATCTCTTTATTTAATCTACACGTTATTCATGTCTAGGGGTATATTGTATATTTTTTACTTTTCGTACTGCTTAATCGCTGATTAATCCAGAAGATTTTCCTTTTAGTCAGATTTTATAGAATGGGTCGGACCAAGAACACAGGGATTGAACACGCAATTAATATATCACCAAATTCACAAACCGATGCTTTAGTCCGCTAGGCTGTTATCCTGTAGAAAAATTCTCTGTAGAGAACTTGGAGCACTAAACATAACCTGCCTGCTGATTAGTGCTGCCTCTGCTGTTGCTTTTTTGTTTTGTTTCTGTCCGTCACGTTTAACTGCTGCTGCTGATGCTTCTGCATTGGAACTACTAGAACAGTCTACTTCCGTAGGATTCAGTTGAAAATTCCCTGTAGGTTACCCAGATTGAAAGTCGAAGGGCACAACGGCCGAAACGTTGTGATAAAAGCAACAGAGAAGGGGGACACTAGTCCGAATATAAATAAGGTAAATAAGGATAACTCCTCATCCCAGAAATTCAGAGGGAAATTCAAAGTTAATAAAAGTAATCAGTGAGGAGTCATGATCGTTTTCAAACCATTCAAGGGATATAGCATTTAACATGACTCTATTGAGATTCAAATCCGTAATACAGTATGGTCCGAATGTCCGAATATCACCCCTACCAAAAAAAGTAATGACAATAATAGAAGAACAAGTAATACAGTACTACAAAGCTCATGTACTGGATTCAGTTTAATCACTTTAATTAACGCTGTTACACATCGAGAAGGTCTGACTGAACACCATTATTTTCGTGGCACAAAATGATGCGACGCCATGTCATGTGATATTTTATGAAGCTATGCTTTGTTGATTATTGCAAAAGCTCTCCGAACGTCTTACTTCAACTGATGGGTATTCTAATATCATTCAAGTGAAACTCTCTCCTTGATAATACCAAACAGAGCATTGAAATACAAAATTATATTATGTAGCGGTGACAAGACTTTCAAACCAACCCGTAATTTTAAAATAGTCTTGCTATACAGAATGAAATAAACTATTTTCTTTTCGTAGGAGTGTACTAAACTTTGTATATTCGTAGTTTTGGTAAGAGTTTCAATGCAGTAGAGTTGAGTTTGGCTATAAAAAATATATATTGATAATACTCGCTCTGATTGTGAAATGTTCCACTACAAATAATACAATCCTACTATTTTGATAAAAATTAAATTCCTATAAAATGGCTGTAGATATATACTAATCTATAGGCAAACAGGCATAGTCCTTGATTTTCCTGGCAAAAAAATGGTTATTTGTAATGCTTGTCTTTTTAAATGAAGTATTCAGATTCTGTCAAAATATATCTGTATAAATTTATTTATAAGGATCAGAAACGAAATTTTTAGTGCAAAAAACGAATTTTAAAGACCTAGGTTCCAACCTGGCATACGACCACCTCCAACTAAAACACCGATTCCCATACAATCATCGAAATTAAGCAACGTAGAGCCTGGTTAATACTTAGATGGGTGACCTTTTGAGAATACCAGGTGCTGTATGCTTGAGTGTACGGGTGGTGTAATGGATAATGGCTCGGAATTGTTAACCGAAGAGCTGAGTTCTAATTCCAGTTAGGTTCTTTATATTTACTTACACACAAATACCCTTGGGAACGGTATGAATCCACCTCTTCTCCCACCAGCTATGGGTTAATTAGGATGACTTGTATCACTAAACCATTATTATCGAAAAAAATCTTACAATCAAAAAATATTTTCTGGCTTTAAATAATCTGAAAAGGGTTGATAAACTGTAAAAAATGAATGAAGGAATCAAGTCCCAACGTCTGATCCCTTTAAAACACAGACGTTTTTTTTTCTAGAATATGTAGATAAACTCAATATGAGAGAGAATCTTATACGAGGCCTGTTTTAAAGTTCTCTGCTTTATCCAGAAGATTTTCCTTTTAGTCAGATTTTATAGAATGGGTCGGACCAAGAACATTTTAGCACTTCTTCATATAGTCTTTATTTTCCTCTTGGGTTTAGTGTATAGGTTATCGAATTGATGATGGATGGAATTATTCAAGACATGACGTTAAAAAACGTCGAGTACAAGGTCACAATAACGGTAACATTTGCAGCAAATGTCTGTAATTTTATATTGCCAATCATTTCACCTTTACAAATGGTATAATGGTTATCGGCACGGAAAATGTAAACCGTTGTGCCCTGTTCGATTCCCGATCGGTTTTGTTTCATTCATTTTGTGCGAATATCAATAGAATACGTATGAATCTATCGTAGTCCAGCTATGGTTAAGTATCGGCGCATAGTGAGCTCTCTTAGGTGACAATTGGTATAAAAAATGGAAAACTGGAAAGGGATGGGTTCCGTCAGGCTATCTTGCCCTACACATATAACTGATTCTATGGCTGCAATACAGTGCCTTTACGACCATAAAGGGTTACGGGACTGGAGACTTGACACTTGATATTGTGCTCCAACCATATTTAAAGAATCCATGATTGGTTAAAATGGTAACTTCTTGAATAGAAAATCCTCTGTCAAGTGATGTTGTTTTCTAATGCCATTCAGGATTTCTGTCTTCGGGGAAATTATAAGAATAAAGTGCTCGAAATGAGGGATTTCTTGGTTTGATTAAGAAGTTCGAAGACTGTTACGGTTAGTTACTGTGTTTAAATGGAAAAAAAATTACTGTTTAATGTTCGATTTATGTGAGTAATGGAGAGATGTTGGATTAAGTGTCTGGACAAAGAAAGCGAGTATATTCAATAATAAATCTTTTTTGTGTATAATTAAATGCTTTTGTTGCAAATAAAGCTATGCATTTTCTTGCGTATATCTCATTTTCCGGTTAGATCTCTCGAGGAAAGCTGAATGACAATGAAATTATTCATGAAATACAAATAATTTTTGTCCTCTTCTGTGCGTTTCGGCATTTTTTTTTTATCTCCATCTAACGTCGTTGTTTAGTCCTTTGGTCAGATTTTGGGAAGTGTGTTGGACCAAGAACTTTACGTTTTAGTACACTCATCGTAGAGTCTCTATTGACGTCTTTTCTTGAGAGCTTTACCTTCTCGATCAGTATCAGATCGAATTATTCTCATTTTACAAGTACATTTATAAGAATCATAAAACATAATTAACATTAGACTATATTTAATTCAACATGAAAAGACGATGGACATAAGAGTAAGACTAATCAAAACAGATAACTGAAATTTTTTAAGATCAGCGTTCCGTTTCAATATGATCACGTCGGCGTCACGTGGGCGATGTTGTGAAAACGTATTCCTAAAATAGAGTATGTTAATTATGTTTTATGAATATGTCCAGAAGAAGGTCTACTAGACCGAAACGTCCGACTTTGACATTATATTAACATTAAAGCAGCATAATTGCGTATTATGATTTTTGTTTGTTTTTCCGTATATTTTTTTCATATATATATATATATATATATGTGTGTGTGTGTGTGTGTGTGTGTGTGTGTTTGTGTGATATTATAATAAGACATTGTTTAATGTACAGAAGTCTTTTTGTAGGTTGAAACCCGTCACATAGGATTTTTTTCCATTTTGTAATAGAAGTACACTGATTTGATCTGGATAACTAAAGGGGCTTTCAGAAAATTTGTGAAAAATTATCTGCCTATTCGTCGGCCTCGATGACCAGGGTAGGCGTGATGCACACTGTGAAACGTATGTCAGTTTATTTGCCTATCGGGAGTGTAGCGCGCTTCAAATGATCCGTGTACCAGCTGAAGCGTACTTGTTGAAAAGTTCAACGATTGCTTTTTGGAGATCAACCAATTGGAAGTCTTCTTAAAAGCGACATCTGTTGAGAAATAGTTAAATTCTTTAACGTTTGAATGAGAAAACAAAATGTAACCAGGTGAAAAAAAAAAAAAAGAAAAAAAAGAAAAGAAACAACAATATCAGATATAAAATAAACAACTTTCTTTCCTTTAATAATCTATAGAGACTCAGTTTTTGAAAATATAGATCCAA